ACTCGATGGTCTATATGGTAGTTCTAGATTGTCCTTAAAAACACCTGTGCTAGTAGACGGCAGAGAACTACAATCCATTACAGAGACACTCTGTATTGTATTTGCATGTTCAGAACAAAAGGAATCAGTGGTCTTTCTAGATAGGTCACATTCACTTGCAGCACGACATGAAGTGTTACTTGTAATCTATAAAAAAGTAATAAATATTCTTAAAATGTATAAAAATTGATCAAAAATAAAATGTAGTGGTCACGTAACCACTACTTTCAAAAAATTTCATTTCGCTTATTTAAATCTTAAAATATAATATAGTAAAATATAATAATAAAGTATTGTGACAAAGGCTAAATTATAAAAATATATATTTTATAATGAACTAGCAGTTTTTTAAATTCCCTGTTTATTAATATTTCATATTACTTTGAAACATAAAATATTCTAAATTAGCACTTACCAATATAGGTATAGCAGTTTTCTTTAAATGTAATGAAAAGGGTGATTTTCATTATCAAATGAATCTTCTTTAAAATGCAAATGACACACGAGAATATTTAAAAATATCATCTTTGTTTAAATCCAAAGCTGCTCTCCAAGACTCCCACATCTCATTATTTTTAGGAAATCTAAAATAAATCAGGTATAGGTTAGATATGCAGTAAAAGCTAAAGTAAAAGGCTAGATAAGATAGTAAGTAAAATCTAGATTAGATATACAGACATTAATAACTAAAATAATTTCTAATTTATTATACTGTTTCGTGTCAATAACATCTGAAATAAAAGTGAGAATGAACTCCATATATTTATAAGGAAATTATTCTCTTAATCTAGAAAACTGTAACTGATTTTCCTGCAATTATCAATTTGGATTCCATTAATTTAATAAAAATTGAAAACGTACTAAATGCTGTCCTGTACAAAGTTAAAACAGAAAACAACATGGCTACTTTAAATTATCAAATTTCATATTACTTACCGAAATAAATGCACATCAGTCTTATCCCGATAGTAATTGGCACTTTTATTATAAATACAGTTTTTACAACACACCTAGGCATTTTTAAACAATAGTAAGTCCAAATTAAACACAAACAAAGCCACTAGAACGACTGTAAACACACAGCTGACACAACGAAAATGGCAGAAAATAGAGTCGGTTGACAGCTCATCGGCCCCAGTCGGCGCGTTATTCAAATAAATGTTATTCATTGGTCCGAGCGCTTGGAATCCTGGAGTGGGAAACTGGCAGGATGCGCAGTGGTCTTTGCTACATCTTTAACTTCATAAATCTATGGTGTCCTCCAACGGTCTAAGACACTCGAAAAAGTTTCTCATAACTTACGACCGAGAAAAATCAAAGGTTTTCTTTGATTTAAGTAAAAACAATCTTCGGATTATCACGGGGTTTCTAACAGGACACTGTCTCCTCAACGAACACCTCAGTAGGCTGAAACTGAGAAACAACGGCGAATGCAGATTTTGTGGGGAAAATGGGGAAACAACAGAACACCTTATCACAGAGTGCGCCGAGACGACGACCATTCGTGCCATGAACCTTGGGACGTCTGATGTCGAGGATGGAGAGCTGGCCTCTGTGGAGCTGTCTCAGATACTGGCTTTTGTTAAAGCCCTGAGACTGTATGATGAGTTATAACTCGTTATAACTCAAGAAAGGGGAACACACAAAAGATCTATAAGGTTGCGGTGTTTAACTCCTCTCCTAAACATTCTACATTCTAATATACATAGCATCCCCAGAACATATCTACAAAAATGTTATATAAGAAATAATTTTTTGAAGAAATCTTTATATGTCATTTTTGTTATTTTTAAAATAATCAATTTCTGTGAGTGTAGAAATACCTAAAAATGTTTTTATTAATTGTAGTTGTTTTATATCTCAATATGAATTAGCTTACCATAATTTTTACATTTCAAAATGTTTATATGCTATAGAAATTTAAGTAATTATTAAATAATAAAATCAATTAATATGTTTTAAACCTCATATAGAACTTCTAAATTACTGGAATAAATAAGTGGTTTCAATTATACTTTATATTTTTATGTTTACGATTATTCAAAATGTCTAAAAAATCCAATTAAAATTAATATAATATCCTAGCAAGAGCTTAGGATATCTATAGGAATAGTATCCATAGAGAAAGTCTAATAATTAGCTTATAAAACAATAAACTTTTTTTCTAACGACAATTTCTCTTAACGGATGATAGTCAAAGGCCAAAATGTCATTATTTGGAAATTTTGAATTATAATTAGTGAAAAAAGTTAAAAGTTTGTTTACTTTCTCCACTAATTGCAAACTACAACCACTATTTCTGACGCTTTGAATCCTTCCATTGAAATTCGAGGAACGAACTGCTACGCTAATTGAAACCACTAACATATTTCAATAATTTTGAAGTTCTGAATAAAGCTTTAAACTATCCTTTATTATTGGAGAAAAATAAAAACTGTTGAGTAATGCTGGACATTCTGTAAAAGAAACAAAAAATATTTTTAAAAACGTCGATTAATATTAAATTTACCCTGCACATTCTCTCCCTATCGAACAGAAACGAGTATCTTTTGTTAAATAATTCCTTATAAACGGAGAGCAGTCCGACATTTACAAAAGAATCAACCGGAAGATTTAAAGCTAGATTTTGTAGACAAGCAGGGGGCTTTTGAGCGGGATTTTGTCGGATAATCACGAATAAACGTCGATAACTAGTTTTAATACTGGATGAAAGGTTTTTGTTGGACCTTTGTTTGAACGACGAAGCCGCGAGAACTTTTTAAGGGTCCGCAAAACCGAGAAAGGGTTGCTTGCCAACGTAAATTTGATCGCTAAATTGATTTCGTCCTTACTTAAATATGGACCCTATAAAAGTGAACCGAAAATTTTGTTTTAATTTTCTCCCCTGAAGAAAACCATCTAACAACTTTTAAAATCAAATACATATTAATCCATATCTGTTATATTTCAAATTTTGATATTTCTATCTCGCTCATGATGAGCTATTATTTTTAAATTATATTAATCTGTACGAAAAACTTATTATTTGTCAATTACCTATTCATTTTCATTTAGTTTACTTTACTTACTAATTTATAGGCGTTTTTGTTGATTGTATACAAAAGTATTAATGGGTAAAATAATAGCAAATTCATTTCTCTTTTGATTTTTTTAAAGTTAATACTTATGTTAAATACCGTATGATCGAAAAAAAATGGCGTCAAAGAACTGTAGTGAATTTGGATTTTAATTACAATGTCAATTTTAACATAAAACCTAAAGAAGCTAAAGGGCGTAGAAATTAAATAAGACTGTACCTATATAAATAAGACTTCGTACCTATACATATTAAAATAATTATATTAAAATTAGTTTGTCTCAAAAAAATCAAGCATTTTTTTGGAACTCTGCAGTCAGGCTATAAGAATGCGAGTAGAATATGAAGACATTAATAGAATACTGATATTCACTGTAAATATTAAACGAAATTATATATAACTTTTCAAGCATTGCATATTTAATATTTTGGTAAGTATACTGCGCGAAATGTTACAACGCAACTACTAAGCACTGTCATATACCTTGACCTTATATCCTTCCACAACCCAAAACATTTTACCCCCAATTTAATTGGTTTCGATCTACAGAGTTAAAGAGCATTATACGAAATATTAATTTTATTAAATTATGATTTATACACAAAAATATGTATATCGTTATTATAATGGCCGTATATAAAAATACTGCTTGAATAAATTTAACTTTGATTAAAAATAATTTAATATACATTCAGAAAACATCAGTTTTTGTACTGTATAAAGAAAACGTTATTTTAGCCAAACGACGAGGCGTTTAGAGTTTTTTTACATGGAAAGGAAATTAAACATAATTTATGCTCCTACAAACATTTTTTGTTGCCAACAAAAATCGCTAAAAATGATAACGAGCACACAACACTACAAAATTAAAATGCTATTTTTAACATTGTGCAATCCTAGGGAAAAGCAACCACATTTAAAATGTTTATTTGCATTCATTCTTTATTTCAACATACAAATTAAATTACAATAGAGACGATAAGCATTATTTCTAGTCATATAAAAACAGTTACTTTTTATACTACCAACAAGAAGTTTTTACTAAATTTTGTCAAAAAATTCTTTTCGTTATTATCGTATAAGAGATGAAATAAGAAGAATTTAGAGTTTATTTATTAATAAATTACAAGAATTTTATACTGGTATATTTTAAAATTAAATGCAAGTTTATCAATTTTATATTATAATTAAAATGTATAAAGTACAGAGTATGTACCAACGCGGTTGCTTCAAAACAATTTCGTTCAAAACGGTCTTATATTGAAGATCGGAAAACCACGAACTCCCGATTCAATCCGAGTTCTTCTATCACAAATTCATAAGGCCTAGTCGCTTTGATTTAACTCTGATTTTGATCCAATTACTTCGGATTCCCCCTGTGCATTAGACCGCTCCCTTTTCCTAAACTACCCCGAAACTTCCTCCATTTTAATACACCTCCCGTTATCAAAACAACTCGCTAGCTCCAAACCTTGATGTGGAATTTTATTAGAAAGTACAAGCCAGTTAATAGTTTTTCCCTTCTTCAGAATAAATTTACTTGTTAAGCAAGGCTGTCTGCTGATCTGTAATAATTAAATAACTTTATTTTGAATTTTATTTTTTTTTACATTTTTCACTTTTACGAAATCAAAAAGAAAATGAGAATCATACATTTCAAAATTATGAAAATATCTAGCATAGTGTTACTTTTGTTATGTATATATAAATTTGCTATCTTGAAGCAAAAAAATGAATAAAATCTTTAATATGGCTGAACATTGGATAAACATATTTTCTGGCTTAAAAGTCCGGACCTGCACAATTTAGTTACATGTATTTTTCTCTGTTATGGATTCAACCTGATCAGCACTTTTCCGAGCTAATTTTCTTTTATTCCAACAGATCGAAAGCTCTTTGTGGGAATGCTAAGCAAGCAACAGACTGAAGAAGATGTCAGACAGTTGTTTGCCCCCTTTGGAACAATAGAAGAATGCACCATTCTGAAAGGTCCAGACGGAGCTAGTAAAGGTAAGACTATACTTTAAATATATTTATAGTGATTTTTTATACAATACGATAAAATGGTATTTTATCGTCGACCGAAAAGATTAATTCACGAGCGACAAAATCACGAGGGAATTAATTTCGGGGTATTCAGAAATTAATATTTCAAGGAATTTATTACGAGTAGAAAAAAATATTGTGCTGGGTTGGCGTTAGTTTCTATGTAATTTGACAAATAAATAAAGCTGCCTCTTTAGTTTTCAGTTTTGAGTCAATATTTTTAATTCTCTTTCGTGTCGATTGCTGATTGAATTGGAGCCAGAAATGGCTCAAAACGAAATAAATAAATTACCAACAGATATTCAGGAGGAGGCAACAAACGCCATATCCAAACTACTTCCATTTAAATCCCGAATAACTTATGAAAAGGAATACAAAATTTTTCAAAAATCGAAGCAATTAAAAAACGTGTGAAATTAAGTTTTTAACCTATCCTCGCTGTTAAAGTATCATTTAATCTACTTTTGCGGTTAAAGTACTATTTCATCTACTATTTTTGATAGATATAAGGCAATTTTAACAGTTGCTAACCCTAAGTTTCTTTATTTGGCATAATTTTTTATAATTCAATTAGATAGGTATATTTTGAATGTTCTTTGTAATTCTAGAATGAATCTGGAATATTTTGAATGTTGTATCTAATCCTAATAAGGTAATTTTAACAGTTGCTATGAAAAAAAAATAAAAATTCAAAAAATCAACTTGAAAGTATTTCAGCTTATGAAAATTTTTAATTGTAAATATAGCATTTTTATTATTTATAAAATTATTGGTTTCTTTTTTACTGTGAAAAAAATTATTATATCGTTCATAGCATTCTATAAGGATCGAGATTCGTTTAAAGTATTTATTAGAATATCGAAATCTGCCCTCCTCGATTTTCCCAAATATCGCTAATAGCATCTTGAAAAGATTTAAGAACCTCAAAAGAAAGCGCTCAGTTCTTTGTTGTGCTGAGCTGTTAAAGTATCATTTAATCTACTTTTGCGGTTAAAGTACTATTTCATCTACTATTTTTGATAGATATAAGGCAATTTTAACAGTTGCTATGGAAAAAAAAAGATATTATTCAGAATCAGTATGCTAAATATTCTATATTTTTTATAACCTATATTTTTTGCTTTAGTATTTATATTCTTAATAACACTTTATAATTAATTGCTTATTGGTATAGTTTTAATACTTATGTAATTATACCAAGATGAAAAAAAAAATAGTTGGTAATATATCGTACAGTTGTACAAATATAGGAAGAGACTTGGGGATAGCACCGGTCGGGTGTTATTTTATATTTCTCACGTCTCTAGCTATACTTGTTAAGTTGTACATAACATTTTTCATGGTTACTCTTTCATCCACATTGTTGCATAGCTTTTTATGAAGGTATGCGAATGAAAATTTTAGTACAGGGTAAAAGTAATTTTGTTCAAACTTTGTTGCAGAGATCTTAAAAAAGCTTTAAGAAAGTTGGTAAATATATTATTCAAAAATAACGATTTTTTGCCCCATTAATTATAAATTCCAGTAATAATATATAACATCTATGAAGGTTTACTAAAAAATTAAATAATGAAGGCTATAATTCTCTTTAAGCCACACACAATTAATGTTGTTCTGTTTTTAAAGAATTTAAAGTTAGGCATAGATATAATAAGTTTATTATGTTTATGTATTGAATCTTAGTATCGAATGAACTTTATCTAATTTAAATAATAAATTAATTGTATGGTTTTCAAAAAAGTTCTAGATTCTTCAAATTATATATCAAATAAAGGTTAGTTACGAAAACAAAGAGACAGTAACATTCAAAATTTACAGATCTTTAGCCTCAAACTGAGCCGTGCATTATTAAAAGAACCTTTGTTTATCACCGCAGAAAGGAAGGACAAGATATTATTTAAACTGCTCGTCTTTTGCACTTTATAAAACCCCAATAAAATAAGCGTTAAATCTTCGGAGCTTTTTGACGAACACAGTCGAGCCTAATATGTCTGAATGTCATTTAAATAAATAATTTCGGGTTTCGCGAGGAAGCCTAGAACAGACCAAAAATTTAATATAAGCAACCCTCGAAAACGCCTAATTTGCATTTTGGAATGCGCTAACAACGTCGTGGCTTCGGGCGGGGTATTCGGAGGAGACGCTCTCAAAAAGGGGGTTCGCGTCAAGAAAGGGGTTCGAACCAGTGGCGGGGAAACTGGAATTAGTAGTCTCTCATCTCTCTGAACTTTTCTCTCACTTAGAAATAAATTGTGTTTTGTTGCGCGTGTTTATTTCAATTTGCTCTTCGTCATTTTCAACCGAATTAATTTTAGAATGGCAAGAAGCTGCTAGGAATCTTAAAGAAAATGATTACTCATATTGGTTATGTCAGATTTTTACATTATATAGTTACTCAAGTAGCATTTTTGGACATATTTTAGGCAATGTTTCTAATAATCGTGTCTGTTTTATGACACAAAATGGAAACGGTATGCCACAAGTAGGAAACATTTTCGAAACCTATATATATATTAAATGGCTTTATTACATGTGTTTCCAATATGGTGGCACTAGCCGTTTCATGAAATGTTTCAACGCGGAATCAAAACTTTTAGAGGAAATGTTTCGAAGCATTTTCTGCAACTTGTGTTCAAGATGTTTCCGTTTTCAGCAGCCACTGTTTCTAAATGTGAAGAAACAAAATACTAAACTAAAATAGTCTATGTCTGTGTGTGGATTTTAAAATGAAAACAACCATCAACAATGTCGACCTCCGCCATAATTTTTTTGTCTTAGAATCTCTCTTTTTAGGTTTTCTGGCACAAAAAATGTCTGGCAAAAGCAAATTCATCGTTTAATTTAATAACGTACTTTCATATTTTTAATGCCCCTTCTGTATATCATTATTTGTTGGTACAAAATATCTTGGTTTGAAATATAAATTTTTATTTTTATATCATGGTTCTGAAAATAAAAATATATAAATTAATGTAAGTAGAACGCGTTCTTATGAGTTTAAAAGCTCAACAGCCGATATAACATACAAACCAAATGAATATTGCGGAATTTTGAATCATTATTTTGTAAAATTGATATGGATTCGGACACAAATCATCTACATTATATATCTGTGTCTATATTTGTGTCAAAAAAGGGAGAAAATCGTGTTTCGAAAATTTATCGACAATAAATGGAAACCTTGTTTCCAAAATGTTTTGATTTAGCGCTATCTGTGTAGAAATTTGGATCTAGTCAATGCCCGATCTAGTCATAAACGCCAATCAAAACTTCTGATCAAAATAATTAAAATATTTTTTTATTTACTTATTATAATACAATTAAGACATAAAAGCATGTATTATTGTGGAAAAAGAAAAAAACGTTTGCTGGTAACATCTTTCTTCGGTCTCCAGTTGGGTATGAGTAGTGGCTGTTATTACATTTATTCCTAAAAGAAATCACCTCTGTAATACGTATTATAAAATCGCATAAGAAAAATATCTGTGTTTGTATTCAACATATATAAACCCTTCTGCTTTTTTAATTATACTACTATAAAAAATGGAAAAATGGCTTAAATGCAAAAAGTGCATAAAAAAATCCAATAATTAAAGGTTATGTTCTCATATTTGACGGAATATCAAATAAATTATGGAAACTTTTCAGGCACAAAACGGGTACGAAATCTGTAAATGTGAGCCACATCTGGTTCTTAAAAGTTTCGAAAAAATTTTGACGCTAAGATCTTTATTGTTACATCTTATGTAGCGAAACCATATTTTGGTAAAATGTTTCGAAACAAAAAGTAATTTTATGTTACGAAACATATGTATCAAAAATGCGACGAAACTGTTTCGCAATGTTTCTCCGTAGAGATTTTGTTTCGATTTTGTATCTAAAAATGCTACTTGGTTAGAAGGTATAAGATAAATTTATTCTGGATGTTTCACTGCGATCTTTAATTGTAGTTTTTGTTAGTGTAGCTCAGAAGCGAATAGGGTTATTAAAATTATGTTTATAGTATCTTCTTTTTTACATAAAAGTGTGGAAACCGCATCCTTCTATCTTCACGAATAACGGAGATACCGTACGATTTCAAACAAAATGTACATAACCCTCAAACCCTGTACATAATATTTTTAAATAATATCTATATGTATTCTAACAAACATTTAATTTTGCTTATTACATTTCAATTATTTCCATTCTCCGAAATACTTGTAAAGAGACCGAATAAAAATTTAATTTTAGAAATATTTCCTCGAAATACCAACCTTGATTTTCGCGCAACTTTCCTGAAAAAAAAACAGGCGGCCTTTAATTTATTCCCAGCCGCAACAAGCAATAAACAAAACAAATATTACATTTTCCAAACAAATTCCAAAATATCTGGGCATACGAAAACGCCAATTATTTAAATTCGACGTTCCGATTTATCGCAGAATTTTCCTTTAATGAATTCAAATTTATGTTCGCATATATACGAGGCGAATATTTTATGATAATTTAATTTATTGTCATTTGCACATTTCGTACGCACAATTTAAATTCGAGACAATACAATGCCGAATATTTTATGCGGCAGACGGGTACGTTTTTCTTCGGATCGAGAGATAAAATGGTCGACGTGATGTGTGAGTTGGGGCTAGGTAATATTCCTCCAGGAGGAAGCAAAACATCACGTAACGAGGTAAAAAGAGGGGGGCCAGTTAGGGAGATAAAATCACGGTAGGGAGTATAAATGGGTAGATTCGCTCCCGGTTATGACTTATTATTATATTGAGTCTTTGAGGCACAATGCTTTTTATACAGTGTCGCGCCTCTCACACGACGCGGAGGCTCCTAGGATGTATGGCTATGTAGGTTAATTTAGAGCATTTTTTTAAATATATAGTCCTACAGGGTGTCCCCAAAAAAAGTTAGACACATCAAAGTTATGTTTTTTGTACCGGAACACCCTATATATTAATTGTTTTTCAGAT